AAACGGAGTTATCAAATTAAAGTTAATGCAATGCTTCGTCTATCAGTAAAAATGCTCCAGCCAAATATACCAGATTTTCTAGCGCTGTGATGACAGCAATGTTCAGCAAAGGACCTGCGTGATGATGAGAAATAAACAATATTTGTCCCCCTGTGGGTTCTGGAGCCCTGTTATAGTCAAAACCAGAGTTTACAGCTGGTGAACGCAAAGAAGAACAATATTCAAAGTCTTCATCAAAATGTTTATCTGCATCTAACCCTTTAATGAAAAACGCATTGAAAATCGGGCATTTTGAAAAACAAATAGGAATGAAAAGTAAGTAATTCATTCCTAATACTAATTCTTCATCATTAATCGGAGTGACATAAGTGGGCTGTGCCTGATAACAACATAGTAAGTAAAAAGTAAAGGACCCTTTTCCACGCGTTAAGGTGTATAGGGCAAGACCTATATTTCTATAGACCAATCGGCACATGATGGGTGATATGGTCAGTATCACGCTGGCCGCCTTCACTTTCCCGGTAAAGCACCCGGTACCCACTCAAGGCTGGGTCGACCTGGGAGCCAAGGTCATTTTTGAAAAATGTCCGGCTCCGCCAGGAAGCGAACCCACGACCTTCCGATCCGCGGTGAGCGTCTAGCCACTCGGCCACGATGACTGATAACAACATAGCTTTGATTTTAATTCTTTCAGTTAACATTTCCAGCTGCTTCAGACATTTGTTTTCCCGGTTAGCCATTCCGCTTAGTTCTGGTGAGACATTTCTCTGCCTCAATTGTATGTTGACTTCAACATCCCCTAACTGAGAGTTTTTGCAACCAGAGGATCTATTCTGGGCAACTGTATGTAAACTCAGGTACTCTAGTCACATGCGGCTTTCTAGGGCACACTGAGAGATAGTTCAACACAATCTTGAACATATAACAGGGAACTTTGGAAACGGCACAACCACTGATCAGATACAAAATGTTTATTGGTTACAACAACTGTTTCTTCAGTCAATGCACCAGAGGTATAAACAACTAGGCTGACCAGATCGGCCAAAGAAGACAACATTGAATTCAACATAACCTTCACAGGATGACCAAACCCAGGACCTCCAACTGTAGACACTTCAAATACTGCTAGACGTACAATTGAGCAGAAAACACTCATCTCGCTGCAGACGTCAACCCAGCCATTTGTACGGAACTAGACTGTCAGGTTTTTCTTTCCTGGTTGGCTGCTTGTTCTAACATTCACTTTCTATGCAGATTCACTGACTACTCATTTGTCAAACACCATTCAACCCGGCTTTCTCAACCTTGAAAACAAGACAGCATCTTCTCGATCATTCCAGGTTTAATTAATCTGTTTACTTCTCCAATTCTCAAACGTTCCACACCTGATTAATGCTTTCTCTCGTCAGGCACGTTTTCAGCCAACTTGCACACTTGTCTCAAGTTATTCGTTATTTGATGCTGTTCCTACATACATTATACTTCTTAATCAATACCATTTAACCAAAATCAGGCACATAATTTACGCTTCCCAGTTGACCTCATTAACAATGAGCACATTACAGTTGACATGGGCAAAATATGTACATTCCCTACCATCCACAAATGCAGAGTTGACAAATGGTGCTCGGGTACTGGGCTCACCAAGCCCTGCACAAGTCTAACCTTACATCTGTATACTGAGCTGTCTACACATTCACAGGCTGTTTCCCTTTAGGGATCTCCAGGAAGCAGTCCGTAGATCCAGTAATATGATGACCCACCAAATATGGGCATTCTGCTTCCACAGCATGTTAGACGTCTCATGTAGCCAATGGAAACATTGCTCAATATTATATGGGCAGTGAGCCTAATCATTTTTTTCCATCCTAAAATGGGGCACCAGAATCCACACAGAGAGGTTTGGGTTTGAGGCTCAGTCAGTTTTCCTTAAGATAGGCATAATGGGCATATATGATATGGTCAACTATTTGAGTAGGTACAACAGACATCTGTCCTTGACATTCTAGGGCTAACAACCAATGGGTACTACAGGACACAAGCTTTCAGCATCCTTTGTTATGTTTGTTAGTTTTCTCTAATTAGCAGAACTTTTCTGTGACTAAGTGGTGTTTTTTTCATTTATCAGAGTAACATTATCACATAGTAGCTGTTAACATCAAAATTGCAATATTTCTCTTGTCCGCCCTGTGCTGAAAACTATCAAAATCAACAGGCTGACTCCCAGGTGATTCGTCTCTCTAGGTTTGGATGCTTAGTCATGTTGAAATGTTTACTTAATCCCAGAGAGCCATAAATACATCATCGAGCAGTGCCATTCAACTCTATACCATCAAGCAGTGCCATTCAACTCTATCCCATCAAGCAGTGCCATTCAACTCTATACCATCAAGCAGGGCCATTCAACTCTATACCATCAAGCAGGGGCATTCAACTCTATACCATCAAGCAGGGCCATTCAACTCTATATCATCAAGCAGGAGCATTCAACTCTATATCATCGAGCAGGAGCATTCAACTATATATCATCGAGCAGGAGCATTCAACTCTATACCATCAAGCAGGGGTATTCAACTCTATCCCATCAAGCAGTGCCATTCAACTCTATCCCATCAAGCAGTGCCATTCAACTCTATACCATCAAGCAGGAGCATTCAACTCTATATCATCAAGCAGGAGCATTCAACTCTATATCATCGAGCAGGAGCATTCAACTCTATACCATCAAGCAGGGGTATTCAACTCTATACCATCAAGCAGGAGCATTCCACTCTATATCATTAAGCAGGAGCATTCAACTCTATATCATCGAGCAGGAGCATTCAACTCTATATCATCAAGCAGTGCCATTCAACTCTATATCATCAAGAAGGGCCATTCAACTCTATACCATCAAGCAGGGGCATACAACTCTATATCATCAAGCAGGGGTATTCAACTAAGTTTACTCAGGTGGCAAAATGCTAGCAAATATGGAGTCCACGTGGGCCAGAAGCTCCAGCATAGACGGATCATGATTACAATCAATTTAGCAGGTGATATGCAGGCCAGATTTAAGTTGCTCTGTTATAAAGTAACTTGTGGTGCGGTGATTTCTGTCACAGGCGTGAGGTAAAGTTAAGTCCAACGTGATGTGTATAAGGAGTTACTCCGTACGTCATTCAGGCGCCAGTCCTGCACTGTTCTGGTTTTACGGAACCTCATGCAAGACTCCTGCAGCACGTCCTCATCGTGCGCCATGGATGTCTTAAATGAGCATTAACAGAGCTGTCAGGGGATCTCGGAGTTTGGCGGCCCCCAGAGGTGATGTGTCCTTGTGGCTCTCATCAGTCCGCCCCCAAACGCATGTGTAAAAAAGCTTATCAAAAATCATTAGGAACACGAGTAAAGTGCTTGCCAAACGTACAACTAAAATGACAACCTTCTGTTAAAAGTTTGTGGGGTGAAGAGAACATTGTGTTGCTGAGACTCAACCCTTGATCTAGAGATTTACCCGCAGCACAGACGAGTAACGATTTCCTGCAGGTGGTGTCTCGCAGCAAGATTCTACCCATGTACATCCTCTGTCAATCCTCAGTGTCGTCGCCACCTTGCTGAGGTACATCCATCGGCTGGTTAAGCCCAAATGTCTGACAAAAATAGATCCTATGACACATGAGCAAGCTCAAAATCCGACCATCATAAATCGTATTGACTAGGAAAAAGTCCAAATGTCCACATCCCAAGACCCCACTCGCCCGAGTGTTGGGACCAAACAGATAAAGACATGCCTGACGAATGATTCTCCATTCTGTCGCTAAAGATGACAATCATGCGCTGAAAAAGATTGTACTTATTCGTGTGGTCACACAAGTCCAGAACCCACGGGCTGCTCCCCGCTGATCTGCGGAGGGCACAGCTCGTGTCCAGCGGGAAGCCTAATACGGGTTGTGAGGTTCAGCAGTAATATGCAGGACATGACGATTCCTTGGGTGAGCCCAGAACCAGAGCATTATGTGATGGCTTTGCATTCATGGAAGCCTCCTTGGATGGCGGGGAATGCCCATGATCTGCCCCTGCCTTCCCTTGAGGGCCAACAGTGGAGAAAGGGACAAAGAGGACACCTCACAAATAAGGTAACATCTCGACCCACATAACAAAATGGCCACAGTCATCCTAGAAATAGGCCTGACGTCTTCCCTCGAAGTCGGAGTACATCTGCCCGTGAGGCAGGGAACAGTGAAAACCAGTAAAACTGTTGTATACGCAAAACTCAGGTCCAGGTAAAAGCCAAAAGTTCAAGTGGATGATTAACCGGGACCTTCCGCCGGAATTCACAGCCGGTGAATGAAGAAGAATAATAAAGTAACTTACTGTCCAGAGGAGCGACAGCAACGGCCATTCTTTAAGACAGCTCATTCACCCCCCCCCCCCCCCCCCCCCCCCCACATCAGAATATCCTGGGCATAAAATTCATGTTGCCTTCCAGGTCTGAGATTATCAAGCTATGCAAGCCACCCTACATGTAGCACACCTGCTACTATTTTCTGAAACATGCTCTGTGAGTCGAGTCCGACAAGCCTGCTACTATTTTCTGAAACATGCTCTGTGGGTCAAGTCCAACAAGCCTGCTACTATTTTCTGAAACATGCTCTGTGAGTTGAGTCCAACAAGCCTGCTACTATTTTCTGAAACATGCTCTGTGAGTCGAGTCCAACAAGCCTGCTTCTATTTTCTGAAACATGCTCTGTGAGTCAAGTCCAACAAGCCTGCTACTATTTTCTGAAACATGCTCTGTGAGTCGAGTCCAACAAGCCTGCTACTATTTTCTGAAACATGCTCTGTGAGTCGAGTCCAACAAGCCTGCTACTATTTTCTGAAACATGCTCTGTGAGTTGAGTCCAACAAGCAAATAAATAAATAACCATATTTAATTAGTTAATTTCCCACATATTCTGACTTAACAACAAGAGATAATAACTGATCAATGGGCACATAACATTACGGGTGTTTGAGAGGTGTCAACTTTGAGTCGGCTTCTGCTTCTCTCTCAAGGCTTGCTTCAGCTGTCTAATCTTGATGTCAATGTCAGTCAGGCTCTCGTCCTGGGAAGGCAGCTGAAATTTTAGAAATATAAAGTTGATGCTAAACTTGACATTTTTAACCCTTATATCAAATCAGAATTCAGGGAATTAAACTGACACATGACAAGGCAGATATAGTCAAGGGTTTTTAGAAACAAGCAACGCAATCAGTAGAGAAACAAGATTATTATGGCCTGGAGAGAATGAAGCACTGGGTGTAACCAGAGGGTCTGGCAGGACATATAACCAGATTGTGACCGGTGCCATCAGTACTGGAACTCTGCGCTGGCTGCTGTGTATGAGGATGGAGTACACATGGGAATTCCCCGAGTGCTGTGATGTCAATGTTTGACTCAACTCAACTCAGGAAATTAAATGGTATGATAAAATATAAATGCTGAGCTTTGGGAGAAAACTTTACAAATTTTAGTGAATCAAGAGCTATTGGAACCATACCCATCGTTTAAATTTATTGAGAAGCAAAGAATGAAATGGTTTGGTCACCTAATGAAAATGGAACCAACAATGCCAGCATCAAGAGCATACAACATGAAAATCGAAACACCAAGAGGCAGGGGAAGACCAAGAAGAAAATGGATTGAAGGAGTCACGGACAACTTGAGACTTCATAACGTCACGGCATATGAAGCGATTGAGCGCGCCCTGGCTCGGTTGCCGATCATCTGATAGACTGCGACGCCTAGCGGCACAAGCAGATTTTAACAAAAGAAGAAGAAAGAAGAGATAAAGAAAGGATGCTGGTGTCTGATTAAACAAACATGCAGAAAACCTGAGAACAATATAATTAGAACAGCTTTACTGTGGGACCCACAGGGGCACAGAAGAAAGGAGAGCAAAATAACACATGGAGAAGGGAGCTAGAAAGTGAAGTTAACAAGATGGGCAGAACAAGGAGTGAGCTACATGTAACAGCAAAGGACAGGATGACATGGCGTGAGCTGGTTGACGGCCTATGCTCCACTGGAGGACACAGGGCAGAAGAAGAAAGCTGATGTCCACAACTTTTCTAGGATTTAAGAAGAAATACCTGGACGTCTTGACTACATGATACGGGCGGGACAAAAACACAGACCTGATCTGATGTTCTGTGAGACTGTGAACCATTAATCTCCCCCCCCCCCCTCCACCACCTGTGGGTTTTCTGGACATGTGTCCTATCCAAAACCAGCATCTTTTTCTCACCGTGAAGGGGTGTAAACATGTCTTGACCAGTACGAGCCTTGGTTTTAGTGCATCTTTAGATGTTGTTCAGTCTTTCTGCATCCCAATGTATTTGATACAAGGTGTTGATCAGTACTTCTGCATCGCAATGTATTTGATACAAGGTGTTGTTCAGTACTTCTGCATCCCAATGTATTTGATACAAGGTGTTGTTCAGAACTTCTGCTTCCAAATGTATTTGATACAAGGTGTTGTTCAGTACTTCTGCATCCCAATGTATTTGATACAAGGTGTTGTTCAGCACTTATTTATCCCAATGTATTTGATACAAGGTGTCATTCAGTACTTCTGTATCCCAACGTATCTGATACAAGGTGATGTTCACTACTTCTGCATCCCAATGTATTTGATCCAAGGTGTTGTTCACTACTTCTGCATCCCAATGTATCTGATACAAGGTGTTGTTCAGTACTTCTGCATCCTAATGTATTTGATACAAGGTGGTGTTCCCACAACTGCTCTGACAGTATATTGATCATTTCTCACTAGGTCCGATAGTTAAATCAGTGGCAGATACCTACATTAGACTTCACAGATATTCCCTCAAAGCAAATGCTGAGATAAGTGCCAGAAAATTAGCCATAAGAGATGTTTTTCTCTTTATAGATGATAGTGTTAAACTGTGCCTCAGGGAGATATGGAAATACAGCCCATTGTGATGGCAAGTGTTCAATGTATGCATGCACATTAAATAAATAGAAGCTGCCATCTTTGGTGCCCTCGACATTTACTAACATATTTACTCACCAGTTTTATGTTTTTAATTATTCCTTCATTGCCAGCACCTGGTTCAAGTTTTTTAATTTTCTGAGGTATCTGCAAAATATTCACATATCTCACTCAACATAATTTTAAGGAACAAACTATTGACAGCATGACACAAAATACCATTATAATGTGAAGCACAAGGGATTCACATAATCTAGGCCAAGCTAATGAACTGGCGTAACCAAGTCCCCTTCAGAGTCAAACCTCAGAACATTCTGATTTGCCCATGTAGACAAGCACCCCAGAATATTGAATACATGCTGGAAGCATGCTCTCTTCATACAACAGGGGGATCCAAGGTCCTTCATCTTGACAACAGGGAGATCCAAGGTCTTCTTCATCTTGACAACAGGGGGATCTAAGGTCTTCTTCATCTTTGACAACAGGGAGATCCAAGGTCTTCTTCATCTTGACAACAGGGGGATCTAAGGTCTTCTTCATCTTGACAACAGGGAGATCCAAGGTCTTCTTCATCTTGACAACAGGGAGATCTAAGGTCTTCTTTATCTTGACAACAGGGAGATCCAAGGTCTTCTTCATCTTGACAACAGGGAGATCCAAGGTCTTCTTCATCTTGACAACAGGGAGATCCAAGGTGTTCTTCATCTTGCCAAGAGGGAGATCCAAGGTGTTCTTCATCTTGCCAAGAGGGAGATCCAAGGTGTTCTTCATCTTGACAACAGGGGGATCTAAGGTCTTCTTCACCTTGACAACAGGGAGATCCAAGGTCTTCTTCACCATGACAACAGGGAGATTCAAGGTCTTCTTCATCTTGACAACAGGGAGATCCAAGGTCTTCTTCATCTTGCCAAGAGGGAGATCCAAGGTGTTCTTCATCTTGACAACAGGGGGATCCAAGGTCTTCTTCACCTTGACAACAGGGAGATCCAAGGTCTTCTTCACCATGACAACAGGGAGATCCAAGGTCTTCTTCATCTTGACAACAGGGAGATCCAAGGTCTTCTTCATCTTGACAACAGGGGGATCTAAGGTCTTCTTCATCTTGACAACAGGGAGATCCAAGGTCTTCTTCATCTTGACAACAGGGAGATCTAAGGTCTTCTTCATCTTGACAACAGGGAGATCCAAGGTCTTCTTCATCTTGACAACAGGGAGATCCAAGGTCTTCCTTCATCTTGACAACAGGGAGATCCAAGGTCTTCTTTATCTTGACAACAGGGAGATCCAAGGTCTTCTTCATCTTGACAACAGGGAGATCCAAGGTCTTCTTTATCTTGACAACAGGGAGATCCAAGGTCTTCTTCATCTTGACAACAGGGAGATCCAAGGTCTTCATCTTGCTTTCACTGGTTGTAAAATAGGGCTATTCAAGTGGCAGCTCACCAGCCTAATATGGCCAGTGGAGGCCTATCAGGTGGCCCAGGGATCACTGCCAGTTGCACTGTGTTATTAATCTTTCTGGGCTGGGGCTCCTGATAATCTTCATTTTCAAAATGTTGGCCCCTGAGTAAACTTAGTTGAATAGCCCTTCTGTAAACCCTGGCAGAAAGTTCTGGTTGTTTTATCCACTTCAAGATTTTTAGTCTTGTTCCAGAACCTAGGTTTTACGTTTTACAAATTGCTTTATTTATATGCAGACTGCTGGTTTCTCACGTGTCAGGCAGATGCCCTCTGGTTTTAAAGGAAAAATCCCTAATTAGTCGACTCTTACGACATCGGAGTGGATCTATTCCCTCCTTCCCTTTACAATGAACCATAAAACCTACACAATGAGATCTAAAGTCAGACCAGTTAGCACTCTGGAAGAAAACAAGTTGTAGTGGAGGACATGTGCCAGATTTCATAGAGGCCTGCAGCCTTCTCATACAAAAAAAAAACCACTTGCAAAAAAAAAACAAAAAAAAAAAAAAAGAAGAAGAAAAAGAGAACATTCTGAAAATATTGCCAAATATCAGTAAAATATACATACGACTTCAGTAAAATATACACACTATTTACACCATCAGTAAAATATACATATGACTTATAGCATCAGTAAAATACACATTATACTTACACCATCAGTAAAATATTCGGGTGACAACCCTTCCAGGTAGCTGACCCTTTCCTCTAAAGCTTTGATGCGTGCATAAATCTCTGGTGCATCTGAGAACAAAAATGAACTTAAAAAAAGAAGTGAATATATTACTGGCACTGTGAGGGCTAACAGTCCACAATGGTTGGGGTATACAGAGAAAACAGCAGACATACAAACACTGTAAACAAAAGAGATGACTGGGAGCAGAACATGAGGCAGACTAAGAAGATTGTGGAGAGATAATATTCAGGCAGAGTGACCCAATGATTTCGGTCACAGGCGTGAGGGAACATTAGGGCCGCTGTGATGTGCATAAGGAGTTAATATGTACTGCGCCTTGGGCGGTGGCGAGCTCTGTGCTGGTTTATACAGATCCCCACGCAAGACTCCTGCCGCACATCCCTGTCGTGTGACTTTGATAATGGCTCAAATGAGCATAAACCGAGTTGGCAAGGGATCTTAGAGTTGGTGGTCCCCAGAAATCCTCTGGCTCTCATCAGCCCCCCCCCCCCCCATGGGTGAAAACATCTACCAAAAATAATTTAGAATGAGTAAAATCTGACAGTCAAATATACAACTAAGTGACAACCCCTGGTCAAAATGCAAGCCGAGTAAAAGAAACTACTTTAAACAGGCACAACACAATTACATCACTAGGATGAACAATAAGAAAATGATAGACAGACGAATAAACACTTGAAGTCACTAACTGAAATAAGTAAGCAAGTCATGCAGATGAATAAAGGTAATATCTGCAGCAATGATCTTCAAAGACTCAACAGGCCAAAAAAGCTGAAGAAGAAGAGGCAGAAAAAGAAGAGAAGGAAGAAGAAACATCAAATACAAAGTAATTGACATTTGTAGAAGTCATGCTGAAGAAATAAATGTTGAATTAACAATTGACATCACTGAATTCAAGACATTCCAATAAGCGCTCCGCCCCCATCTTCAGCAGCAAGCATAGTTACAATTCCGATGAAAGAAGAGGCAGAAAAAGAAGATAAGGGAGAAGAAACATCAAATACAAAGTGATTGACATTTGTAGAAGTCATGCTGAAGAAATAAATGTTGAATTAACAATTGACATCATTGAATTCAAGACATTCCAATAAGCGCTCCGCCCCCATCTTCAGCAGAAACAGTCTGACTGTACATCTGCTCTGACTTCCCCCTGAGCATCGACCAGATCCCCTGGTCATTCCACACAGCCCCCTGTGTGAACTCTGCGCCTCCATTTTGGAGAAGAAAGAACAGACACACTCCCCCCCCCCCCCCATAAGCATGCAATAGGAGGCAACTAACTAGGGGTGTTTCCTTCAAAGTCGGAGTGAATCTGCCTGAAAGGCAAAGAACCGTCTGCATACAAATAAGCCACAACTGTAAAACAGATGTGCATGCAGAAATCAAGCCCTGGATCAAGACCAAAGTTCAGGAGTGGATGAACAGCCAGAACTTTCTGCCAGAGTTTACAACCAGTGAAAGCTAAGCAGAAGACTCCTCGTGACACCATTCTCCCCAGATCGTGATGACCTATTTGTGCCTCCGCACGGTTCAATCGTACCCAAAGGACCCTTAATCAATTCACCAGCAAGATGTGCAGAACCAGTCAGTTCATTTGCCTGTTTGTTTTGAAACACATCAGTATGACCTGGAGAAAATATCCAAAATGAAGAAATAAAATGGATACAGAGAACGGAGAAGATCAAGCAAAAGATGGAACAGCCTTAAAGAAATGGAGATCAACTTATGCCAGGCTCCAAGGAGAGCACAGAGAAGATCTTCACACGACTTCCCAACATTACCATGAAGTAAGCAGGGGAAGACAACAAGAATAATAATTCATGTTCTGGTATCAGACCAACTGCAGTCACATCTAATTTAAACCATAGCTACAAAATGAGTAACAAAGTTAGCAAGGTAATCCATGCTACCACTCCCCCCCTTATCCCTTACATGGTTCTCTAGACTCACTCTTACCTTTCTGTGTGGGGTCAGGGATGCTCCCCCTTATCCCTTACATGGTTCTCTAGACTCACTCTTACCTCTCTGTGTGCGGTCAGGGATGCTCCCCCTTATCCCTTACATGGTTCTCTAGACTCACTCTTACCTCTCTGTGTGGGGTCAGGGATGCTCCCCCCCTATCCTTACATGGTTCTCTAGACTCACTCTTACCTCTCTGTGTGGGGTCAGGGGGTCCAGTTTGGAGGAACAAATAATAAACCCACTGCCCCTTAACAAACATATTACAAAAAGTGACTAATTAGAGGTATTTTCTTCTAAGTCGCAGCGCATCTGCCTGAGATGTGAGGAACCAACAGTCTGCATAGAAATAAGACAGACCTTTAAAGTAGATGCACACATAATATTTGGGTACAAAACCAAAATCAAGAAGTGTACCAACAACCAGGCCTATCTGCCCGAGGTTACAGGCTGTGAACACAAACAAACATTCTCACCACTCTTGATATTCAAATGAGTTTCCAGGTTGTACAGTCGCTCCTCTACAGCATCCGCCCGCTGGACATCTACAGGAACTCGGTACGAGAGAAGACTTCTACCATCGTCGTTGTCTGCTGGGATTTGCGTCTGAGGGCCACTGGCATTCTCCACTCTTTTCAAAGTGATGTGACTTTTCTGTCCCTCCCGGTGGACGTAGACAGCCTCAACTCTGGCACAGCTGGTGCCTGGCTCTGCGACGACACAGTTAAATAAAAGATCGATGACTGATATGGTGAGATGTAAACTTTCAGACATTCACAAACTCTAGGTTGTGAGATGTAAACTTTCAGACATTCACAAACTCTAGGCCATGACGCGAGGCAAGACCTTCCTTGAACTGTTTCCAGGATGCTATTCACCTTCTTCTTTGACTTACGACCTATGCCACTTACGACCACAAAAAATATTTAAATAAAAGTAGCAATGTATAGTAGACATAGTAGGGTACATATAATGTATAATTATACACATATAAATTGAATGTTTTCGTTTTATGTAAAATTTGTATAACCTGCTTGAACGAGTGCTGACAAATATAAATCCGATTTATGGCCTGTTAATCGAAATTGACTTCGTCGTAAGCTGAGGAGACCCTGTATACACCAATTACCTCTGGCAAAATGGTCTTTAATTTAATCTGACTGATTAAAGTCAAGTAAATGTCTCTTAACACACAGTGGTGGACTGGGCACATAAGGCTAGACTCATTTTTTACATACTAATCAGCCCCTTGATAGGTGGTGGGGTAAACGTCACGGCGACCGCCTTTACTTCCAAGAAATTCACTTGGTACCCATTTAAGGCTGGGTCAACCTGGGAGCCAAGATCCTGTTTGAAAGAAAAAAGATCCTGCGCGTGCACTTTTGAACCCATGACCTTTGGATCGGTAGGCGAGCATCTAACTGCTTCACTATGGTGGCACACAACTTTACTTATTAAGGTCACTTTTAATATTCTTCAGGTCTTTAATTATATTTACCTGCACACAATATAAACACTGTCTTAGTAAATACTTCATTCTACCAAATATTACAGTGAAACAAATTACCAAGTCATTGTTGGGGTTCCTGGATCGTTTAACACATTCATAAAAATAACATACAGTACCAGAACAGCAATAACACAAAATACTGGTGACTGATTTACTTCTGTTTATAAAGTCTACCTGATGAAAATGGAGAGATGAATTCCCGGATATTTCTTTCATCAACTTCATTTCTCTTGTTTCGAATGAAAGCCTGTATTCTGCGGCTTACCTAGGTTATCATCAGAGAAAAAAAGAATTGGGTGAGAAAAATGTGAAATAAAGTCAGATATCAATGTTACAATTCAATTTTTGAGCAATCCTGTGGCTGCTACCAGTTACCCAAGCCAGATTACCACTGAAGTCAAACCTCTTGTAGCTCAGTGGCAAATGCATAGTTATTAAGGCAGAAGAGGATTGACTAAGTAAGCAAGTAATTAGTAATAACACAAAATACATCCTGATAAGAAATGAGCACACAATCACCACACAACCATTGAAATGGGGAAACAAGGGATTGAGGAAACAAGAAGATGAAAAAAAAAAAACCCTAAACCAAACTCTGATGAGAGAGGTCAAAGGTGATGGATTGGATTCCATCCACGATGTTGAAGAGAAAGCGCAGGATATAACAGAATGCAGGAATAGTCTGCTAGCCATGTGTGACTTATAATGGCACAACAAGATGATGATGAATACCACAAAAGTAGGCTTAACAGTGTGAAAGTAATCTACCACACATATAACAGCTGCAGTGGTACAGCTGTCAGACTACTTGCTTGCCAAGACAGTGGGCTAGGTTCATTTCCAAGAGGGTTTTCCTAAGTGGAGCTCGGGAGTCTCTACCTAATAACCCAAGTAAGTTCAGAACCCTTTTCCATGCCTGTATGTGTACATCATATTTACAGAGAATGGCAGACTCAATAGAGAGATAGAAGCCACAGAGAATGGCAGACTCAATAGAGAGATAGAAGCCACAGAGAATGGCAGACTCAACAGAGAAATAGAAGCCACAGAGAATGGCAGACTCAATAGAGAGATAGAAGCCACAGAGAATGGCAGACTCAATAGAGAGATAGAAGCCTGAGTACAGAAGGCAAATGCTGTCTTTTACCAGTTAGCCCCCACTGTTTAGACACCCAAATGTCTCCCTTCAGGCAAAAAACACAGCAAATGATTAATAGTATCTTCCTCCCTACTTTATGCTATCAGTGCCAAACATGTACAATAAATAGGGTACTGTAAAAGAAAAAAAATATATGTGAAATGTGGTGCCTCAGCAAGATCATTAACTCTTTGAGTCCCAGGCGACGCAAGATGTGGCAATGGCTCTTTTCATAGAATTTCATCCATCACATATTGTTTTCTTTCACTGTTCACATTTGGTCAGAGAATGCTAATAAGATCTGGCTTCCTGCATATTTGCTTCCAGTCACTGTGCACTTTGCCTAATAAAAGTTATACACTTGTGATTGTTCATAGCAGTTACTGCGCCTTATGAAAATGTATGCACAACTTGTTGGGACTCAAAGAGTTAACAACACAAGAAGGGAAAGGGTTACGAATACCAGCATTAGAGAAAAAGTTGGAGGGAATAAAACCATGTCTGGATTATACTGAGAGACAAAGAATGAAACAGTTCAGCCATCTAGTGAGAATGCAGCCACTGATTGTTCTATCGGGCTTAAAGGGGGCGGGGGATGCTGTTGATGAGATTTTGACATAACATTTTATTCGATTATTTTTATGGTAACTGGCAGACATTTTAAATAATAAGTAGTCAATATTGCGTAATAACTTAAAATGTCAGGGTTATTTAGTTGAACCTTGTTGGTTCATTCCAAAAAAATATATAACGTCGAGGGATTCTGTTTATTACTTAATAAAGCACAACAGTTCTTAAATAATTCTTGTTTCTGAGAGAGTTTTAACTGCTGTTTATTTTTTCTTCTTTACACCTAATTTCCACAAACCCTTGATATCTCAGCTTAGAACTGGGACTCACGAGCAGCAGCTACCACATCTCCTGCAGCTTCCTTCATTTTATTTTCATGTGAGTCCTAGCCGCGAGTAGCGGCGTGGGAGATACTCTCGGCGGTGGCGGTATAGTCCCCGGAAGTCCGCAATTCGGCGGTGGAAGTATAGTCCTCGGAAGTAAGCAATTGATATGTGACTGAGGCTGTTAGGGTATATTTTTAGCCTCGATAATTTGGGACCATTATCCGGAAGATACCTGTCTATTTAGATAATTGATAATCTTAGTTACTAACAACCTCAATATCAATAACACTTTTACTTTTACAAAAAGCAACAAATGTTAAGGAATTATTGCGTTCAAGTAAAATTCCCGGCTTTGACTGAAAGAGTTAAATGTTAAGAGAACAAAATGTGTGGGACTTTGGATTATTAATTATTATTTACCTCATCTTCACTGGCAGCTTTGATCTGGATGAGGCTGGACTGAACTTGGGAATGAAGACGGCTCTGGAGAGATTCTTCATTCTCTTCACCACTGGTTGCGTGAACACTATCGTCATGCCACATTTTAGCACACTCACTATATCAAACAGTATATGTCTAGTATATCTACTAAAACTATATCATGATAGTTGTTATAACCGTAACGACATGACGGAACAGTCGCCGAACTTAGTCTTTGTTTGGAACGAACGCCGTCGCAACAACAACAAACGTCGTAAACAAAATGAAAATATCAAAATAAATAAAATGAACCAGACAGAATTATTACATTTCTATTAGGTAAATGTAAATCCGATCGATTGAAACATAAACTGTTTTATCCCCAGTGACATTAATACTTCCACAAATGTAGATTCTGTAAGTGTTTACACTTCCAGTACCAGAATTAATAATAAATATGCGGGCTACAACTACAAGGTTTAACCCAACGGATTTAAAACACACAAGGGTTATTTGTCCATTTTTGTAAACATTTTCCGGTCAATGTTTTTAACAGCTTCTTCTATGAAGACGTAACCGGCAGGTTTTGAAATTCCCATCATCATTATTATGTACCCCACCGGGCAGCACGAAAGAAAAAATCCCTGCAGATCGTTCTCACTAGATATCATGATTTTGAATCATATACCCACTAGTGCTAGCATCCCGTCTTCGGTATATCCTTCGCTATATTTCAGGTTACCTTCTCCTAATAGAAAATGAAAAGTTTTATCTAATTTGTGTAATCTTTCTTTCTTCTTGTGTCCTACTACTTAAGCAACAGAGCGTCACAGAAAGGAATTATGTGTAGCTTCCTGTCTTTTTCTGGTTGCCAGGCTTATGTCATTCTGAGTTTTTGTAGTGTCTTATTTAACTCCCTCCGTCCATGTCTTTCTTGGTCGGCCTCTTGTTTTGTAGCCTGCTGTTCTCATGTAGTACGCTCTAGATGCTGGCTGATTTTGTTCCATTCTAGCAAGATGACCAAATCATTTGATTCTTAAATGTTCTATGAAATAATTGTTGTCATTACTCTCAACTGGTGACTCGTGTCTCTTCTTTTTTCCCCCCTGCCGCATTTCTTGTATATCTCATCACACATGTTAACGTTTAACATTTATGTTCTTCTAGGACTGCCCATATAATATATCACTGATAGCAACAGGCTGCTACAAATAGCGACATTTATTCGCTGCTTTCACATCGCCAGTTATGTTTTTTAAGCTGTCTTACTGATATTAATCTGCACTAGACATTACCATAATTGACCATGACACACCCGATAGGCGCTGCAGACTGCTGGTTCCTTGAATTGTAGACACTGGCCAAAACACTGACAGTGGAGACCATGGCTGTAACTTTGGCATTGTCATGGCTGTCTGTTCAAGAGTTCACACATGGACACATATTGAGTGATAATTAATCATTTCAAGAACATCGTGGCCAGCTGCATATGACAAGAGTGTATTCTATGATTAAGAACATAGCAAATGGTAATCTAACCCTTATCATTAGGTTGGGATATGAGGGTGTTCGTATTGCAGTAATTTCTATATACACTTTTTCTCAATGCAATGGATAGCTTTTTATTAATGATTTTCCCGTATTTCTGAAAAATCTAGATTTGTGAAGACGATTTTTTTTTTTTTCATCTTTAGAAGGAATCGTCGGTCTGATGATATGACTATTGTAAGATAGTTGAAACAATTATTGTTTCATATCTGATTCCTTGCCGTGTGGGTTCCAGGATCCCATTGTGGGAAAAACAAGAATAGACCCACTGCCTCCCCAACCAGCATGTATAAGTGTCGACTAATTGGAGGCTTCCTTCAATGTCGGAGTGCATCTACCTGCGAGACAAGGAACCAACAATCTGCATACAATTAAGTCAGATGTGTTAAACGAACGTGCACGCAACACTCAGGTTCTAGAACAAGGCCAAAGTCCAGAGGTGGACAAACAACCAGAACTTTCCGCCCGAGTTTACAGACGGTGAATGTAAAGAAGAAGAAAAAGAGGATATTTTATTGATTTGCGTGATGTTGCATTATGCTTTAAAAAATAATTTTACATTAGCAATCATCACCATCTTCTTCTTAGAGCCCATGCAGTGTGGCGCTGGTAGTCATGTCCATCCCGTGTACTTTCAATCAACTCAACACAGATGATCTTCCGTGCTATGATGTCAAACTATCCAGCATCTGTTCTCTCAGTCTCCGTCTGCCCCCCCCCCCCCCCATTTCCTACCATTACGATGTACTCCAGTTTTCTCCTTCTCATCACATGACTAAAGAATGTAGATTGTCCATTTCTGATGTCGGCAATTAGTTCTCTTCTTGGGCCATTTTCTTTCAATATGTCTTTATTTCACCTTTTCAGGTGTCAGGGGAGAAAGACAGCTCTACATCTTGCTCTCCTGACAGCCTTGACCATGGAAACATTGTACTGTTGTAGAGTTTCTACGATGTTATCTTTTCATCTGATTTGCCTGGTCTACCCCCTGCTCTCAAGTCCCTCTCCTCTTCTGTCGTATGCCTTGTATGCTGTGGTGTCACAAGGAATTGTCTCTAAGAGGGCAAACCGCTTTATTTCTTTCTACGTGTAACTGAGTTGGCATCATGACAGTATGAAAAAATAACCAGAAGATTATTGAAATACGCCAGCATATGGACAGAAATATATATAAATAATATATATATATATATATATATATATATATATATATATATATATATATATATGATAGAGAGAGAGAGAGAGAGAGAGAGAGAGAGAGAGAGAGAGAGAGAGAGAGAGAGAGAGAGAGAGAGAGAGAGAGAGAGAGAGAGAGAGAGAGAGAGAGAGAGAGAGAGAGAGAGGAAAGGGGGAATTCTCAATTCGATATTATGTATTAAAAGTTTATGGTTTAAAGTTGTGACGATCAACTTCACTTTCGCTGGGTTTGGTCACAAACAGCTCCACATCTCTCCATACAACGGTTAGGGACCTTTAAAAAGTGTCACAAAAAACCCGAAAACCGTAGCCCCAATGACGACCGCAAATGAAGAAGAAACAGAAGCTACAAAAGAAGAAGGGTTAGAAGAAAATGTAGAAGAAGAACATGAACCACTGACTCTACAGGCAACACACTAGACACTCAGCCACCACAGGTACTACCAAACAAGTCCCAGGTAATCAGCATCCTTTGGGTATTTCTCCAGGCACACCAGTGTGTTGGGAAATGAACAGGTAGATAGACTGGCTGGTTCTGCATCACTTGGTGGTAAATTAATATATGATGAGCTGCATATTGTAAGAGTTCTTTGGGAGCGAGTAAACGAGCGAAGGCACAAATAGTTCACCACGATCTGAAGAGAATGGAGTAGCAGCGATTGACCAGGGGATCTGGCCGACGCTCAACTCTCAGAGGAGGGGCAGGAAGTCATACAGTCTAAATGTTACTTTTACCACCAGAACTGAACTACATGCTTGCTGCTGAAGATGGTGACCTTAGCACTTATGAGAAGACCCCGAGTGTTATGATGTTGGCTTCTTAACTCGTAACTTACAGCTACTTTTCAACAATACGTTAGAAAATGGTGGAAAACTTGTTCAGCTCCAAGTAACTTACAAGCCGTGTATTAGCGAGACCATCACTGGAAGCAAAGAATAGCATCACTGCAGACTACCAGGCATGTCGTAGGAGGTGACTAAAGGTAGAGGGGGGGGCTTGTGTATCTGTCTGTATATTTTAGAAATAGCGAATATTTCTCTGATTTATTACCTCGGTTTACTGTAAGAAATGCAGACAATCCAGTGCTTGTGTGAATGTTGTATATAGCTACAGTTGATAATGTTTACTATTACTTGATGTGTGAAGGAAATTCTGTTTGAAAGGAAGAAGACTAGAATTGCAGAATGTTAAATGGACCAATTTATTTTTAACCCCTTTAAAAAAGTTTGTTCGTTCGTTCATAAACGGTTATAGCCACAAAAATCAACTAACTGTGGTCTCCAGCTCATAGGGTTATAGATATAAAAAGCAAACCCCAATCCCCCCTCCCCCAATAAAACTCTCACACGCGCGCCGGCGGAGACGGGAACTAGAAAAGTTTAAAAGATGGAGATGACATGGTGTCGGTTGCATACGATGGGAAAAAATAGGAGTGCCTGGCGTGAGTTAGTTGAGGACCTATGCTTCATTGGGGTAATATAGGGCAGATGAATCATCTAGTGTTTCTTGGCTTCTATGGATATGCTGTACTTTCCCTAACTTCTCGTAGCCTTCTCAATCCAATTTGTTCTGCCCCAACTGTTATGTTAAATTTCGTCTCATAGTGCTAATATTTTGACTCTTTCATTAATTAGCTAGCTGATCTTTGGCCATTTCTATATCTATCAGTACCAAAGAGACTAAAGTCAATGAGCACACAATCACAACAGAGATGAAATGTCATAGAAAAGCTGTGGTGTAATAAAGAAAAGATAACAGTACAAATGAAGAAATTGGAAGAAGACTAAGACTGAAACCAGGCATACAATTCATTAAAGAGCAACAAATGAGATAGACTGGCCAACTGACGAGAATGATGACCTGGTATCAAATGCCACACAGAAGATGGGAAGATGAGGATTGAAGATTCTTACTGCCCCCCCCCCCCCTTTTTCCTCCCTAAACACTTTGATTAGTTAACTAGAAGATGAAGAAGAAAAGTGCTTGATTAGCTGAAGTAACAACTTCTTAGTACAGAACTAATTAAAATAACACCTTCACAGAACTGAAAGAGTTGAAGGTGAGAGAGGATCGAGTTCACTGCTCCAGGCTTTATCTGATATGGTTTAGTCTTTCAATAAACTCTCATGAACTCAGTAACTCCATCAATGGCCCTTATGGATCGCCAGAAACTGCACTCACTGAGTGAAGGATGAAGTCCAAAACCTAACCAGTAGCCTTGATGGCAGCACACATACAGTGGCTGAACCACTTCACAAAAACAGATTTTAAAAAAACCATAGTAAATGCTCTCTCTCTCTCTCTCTCACACACACACACACACAGAAACATGCATTCAAAACAGACAAAATGAATCCAATTATTTGCCTGTTCA